TGAGCTCAGCTTCCAGTGAAAACAAGTAGGAAAAATTCTAAGTAAAGTTAACCCAAACATTCGAGTAAGCGAGTCCCTCGTGAGTCCTAAGCATGTCTGCGGTCCCAAAAAAAGGTTCATATTCTAGACCCGAGCACATCATAAAATTGACATAAAATCTTTTTGGAATGCTCAGTTTATTTCAATAAAAAAATGTTTAACGTTTTATAGATGAGCTCGAGGGCGCAAGTGGTCAGCGCGTTCGGCTGCGATCGTTGAAGTAAAGCAACTTTCGCAGTGGTCGGTCAATGGATGGGTGACCAAAGTTTACTATCTCGAGCTCCTCCGTGCTTCGAAAGGCATTAATCCGCACACAATCTCCCTATTCCATCCATAAGGAAGGCCTGTGCCCGAGCAGTGGGGGCATCCAATAGGCTGATGATAATGTAACGAAGGTTTTGAAGTGAAAATTTCTTTAGCGGCGTTGTACACTTTTTTTGTATGGGTAAAAAATGTTAAACTCGCGTCAGGTTAGTCACGTGGGCTGATCGCATCATGACACAATAAAATTGGAAAGGTTGTTGACCTTCAATATATTGGACGAAACATAGTAATATTTTATTTTATCGTATTATAAATCGAAAATTCGTAAGACGAAAACAATAAAATTGGAAAGGTTGTTGACTTTCAATATATTGGACGAATCATAGTAATATTTTATTTTATCGTTTTTTAATAATAAGTCTGTATCTAGGACGTCCAGGTGGCAGCTTTATTGCGCAGAAAATGCTTTTTTGAAGTTATACTTCTTTAGCCGCGTTATGAAAAAATTATGAGAGTGAAATTTTCATCACTGTAACACAAAATTTTAACATAATGAAGTTAGCCGCGGGCGCGTTATTTGTAATATTTTATTTTTCAAGTGACCGTGGGGCAGATTTGAACAAAGCAAACAGGGCAGATATGAAATGAAATGAAATGAAATGAAATGAAATTAAATGAAATTTATTCAGTCTAGGCTGTTACAAGCACTCGTGAAGGTCAAGAACACAACGTGTTTTAGTTACTTACAAGTGCTAATTACATATGGACTAATAACTTAAATTCAGTAGTGATTTTAATTGAATATTTTGAATATTTATTTAATTTTGAAATTAAAACTGAACTTAATTGACTGTGTTAACTATCCTTTTCCAGTCCTCTTATTATTTTATTGTAATTATTAATTATTTGCATGCAATTAAAAAATATTTTAATGATGCTAAAGAAGTATAACTTCTCACGCGCGTACATAAGTTCCACGCATCCATTTTTTTACAATAGATGTTACTAGGTGGGCTTAAACGAGTAATTCTGAGAGATAAACTTTTAATGTAGTAATATAAATTGTTATGTTTGTGTACGATAGCGCAATAAATAAATATTGTATTCTACCACATAAATGATAGTACTTTTATATTGATAATTAAAGAAATTCGTGCAAAATTATTCCCTAACCATTCCAAAATATCAAAAATGCACAGCGATAATATTAAAGTTTTCACTTCTGCCGGCACTCCCGAAGTGCAACCCGTCGTTTTTTATTCAAAGGTACATACGATTATTTGATATGAACTGGAGTCTATTCTACTCAGTTCATATATCATTACATGTGTTGTTCATTCCGACGAGGTTAAAGATATGGTTCATTCCTAAAGAAGAAAGTTCCTTTTTTTTGGAAAATATTCGGGCGGTTACCATTATGCTATTATTTATATAATAACAGAAAACTGTGTGTGCAACTCACACTCAATAACGGAATCGAAAGTACAATTGCATGTTACAACACGACGTTGCTCAAATTTTCTTTCAATCTTAACACCATACGATATGCAACATCATATCTCATTCTTTGCTTTCTTGCCTGTTAAAAATATGAAAAATCTACAACATCCTTCTGTCTGTATCTAATTGGAATGTTTAAGTCAAAAAAATAATCCTCAGGCACTGCTTTATTAAGCCACGGAATACCGAAAAAAGAGACGGCAATTTCATTTATCCCCCGTCGCGATTGCTCTCGTGAAAATGAAGTCACGTTCTCAGTATAGAGAGATGTGGAATCACAGACACGTATCCGACTTAACTAAATATGGAGTTAAGACGTGAATAAGCACCGTGGAGCTGTTCCCTGGGTACATTTATAAGGCTCCGTATAGAAAAGGATGAACCATAATATTGAACAATATCCTTCTCATTACAAAATGTTTACATAAGTTAACCCCGGTCTAAAAATGATGCTGTCATCTTTGTTTGCTAAAGAAAAGATAAAGACAGCATTAAGTTTATACCAGCCGAACTTTAGTTCACGTTTTGTAATAAAACTGTTCTAAATGTTTGAATATTTCAGGCCGCGAAGGAAAATATCAGTAGACAGTAGATTTTTTTTATGTCGATAAATTGCTAAATTTCTTGACAGTATCTTGTAAGGTCATTGATCTTGTTTGTACACTGAAAGTACTTCCTTCCATCTCATAGCGACATGATACTACCTACTCAAATCATTCCAATCTACCATTTTTGGCGAATATGCACACGCGTAATACTTTTTTGTCCGTCAAAATAGATCGCTTAAAATACATCTAGTAACGCACGCGACGGACTAAAAGTACCGCATACGAAAAGTCCCCCGAACAACTGAGGACACCAAGAGACCGGACAGGAAAAGTATATGGGTGTCCCCGAAAAAATATGGCACTCATGTTTTTTTTATCGATAGGTCCGACAAATGATTCGACCCCACCTGATGTTAAGTGACGGTGAAGTCCAGACGCGAAGATAGCTGATACAGCATTTCTACCTGCCACACCAGCCATCCTCACCCTGCCGGCCTGCATGTTGCTTCGTCACGCCTCTTTTAAAGGATCCCAGGTTGTAAGGAGGGAACACGTGAGCGGACAGAGCATTCCATTTACGGATAGTGCGACAATGAAACGAGTCACCAAATTTCTTTGTACGCGTTTTAATTGTCGCAACAGTTACACGGTGACAACGTAAACCAGTGCGCGTCGTCCTTTGAAAGAAAGAGGAAGGTGGAATAAGAGAGAATAACTCCTCAGAACACTCGCCGTGGTACAGACGATAGAACGCGCTTAGTGTCGCCATGTCACGGTGTAATTGAATAGGATCGAGGTGTTTAGTCACCTCCTCATCGCCTAAGTTGCGAATCGCGTGCCGCTGTAACCTATCCAAAGCATCGAGCAAGTACTTGGTGGAGCCAACCCAGAGGTACGAGCAATATTCCACGCAAGTGCGCATCTGCGTACAACAAGCACAGTTGCTCGGGCGTAAAAAATGCCGCACCTTATTCTGGACTCTGAGTTTACGTGAGACCGTTTTTACCACGCTTTCGATGTAATTCTTTGGATTAAAAACATTTTTCAATGTGATTCGACTGTACTATCGTCTGTATAGCAATGAAAAGGACAAGGTGAAATTTTGTATGAGAAACTGTCCTAGCAAGTATAAATATTGTTCTTAGTAATATTTAATGCTGAATGGCTGAATATTCTAATTTCTATGAAAAAAGGCTCAGGAGCTGTTGATAAAGCCACAATCTTGAAATTTGTCAGAACTCCTACTATATTGCTACATTTGGTAAATATTTTAAAATAATAAAATAATATTATAATGTTTTGGGCTAGTGCGAAATAATTATACACGTTAAGGGCAGTTTCTTAGCCATGTACTTTCCAAGAGGAATGAAGTCATTGATATGCAGCAGAAAGAGAGTGGGAGATAGGACGGCGCCCTGAGGAGCCGGCATTCACTAAGATGAACCGCGAACTAGTTCCATCAGTAAGGACACGAATTCTACGTTCATGCAGGAAGTCAGCTACCCAGGAACAGATCTGGACCGGCAGACCGTATAGCGCAAGCGTGGAGAGAAGGGCGGTGAGTAGTATTCTTTCTCCGTCACAGCGCGGATGAAAATTAATTTTACAAAAAATGTAATAACGACAATTACACATAAGTAATGACGCAACACATCACCAAATCCTGCACACATGTATCGTTTCTATGCCCAAGCAATGCGACTGAGAGGAAAGCTGTGTATGCTTACCCTCTCCAGGCCGTGTCGGCCGTATTGCTCGCTGCACAAAATTCGTATTTCGGTGACCACGTTACGGGCCGATTTTTAACTGTAGATATTTAAATTCAATTCTTTGCAAGTACTAAAAAACCATGAATTAGCGACTGTCGTGCGAATCCGGGGTGTTTGATAGTTTATGATATCTTTACACGTAACAAAAATATTTAAAAAAGTTCAGATTTCCCCCTCCCCCCTTGCTCACCACCCCTGTCCATTGATATTTCAAAAATTATATTTAACATATATTTCAGATTCATGGAAAACACAAAAATAAATGTTTTCGATGTTTTCAGTGACCTGTCATATTACAAGAAAGAGGTTTTATTTTTATGTTTTTATTGTTTATAAGCATTTAACTGCTAGATGTTTCAATCTAAAGAATGCGGGTGCGGGTTCGAGTCCCGCACGCTGCCTGGTCCGCGTGGATTTTTTTATCTAGTAAAACTTTTCTTTAGATTTAACGATCTAGTAGTTAAATGCTTAAAAACAATAAAAACATAACTATAATTGCTATTTCTTCTTTCAAATGTTTAATACTTATAAAAGCATTTATTTCACATTGTGGGTTGCCTACAATGCGAAGAGATAGCTAGGCCTTGCAGCTTAAGGCTAGGAAAATTTCGACGCGGCCATCAGGGCCATGGTAGCATAATTGGTCATTGCATTCACCCGGATTGCGAAGGGTGCGGGTTCGAATCCCGTCCGCTGCCAGATTTTATTTTATTTGACGATGTATTGGCATGTTATTTGAAGCATCCTGCCATGAACGACACCCGAAATTAAAATTTTGTGGACCCTAAACACCACGAAATACAGACAGACTCGAACCACGTTATAGATCCCAAAGGTGTATAACAGTAAACTATCATACACAATAGTTACACGAGCTAACCTGTTTTACATTTGCTGTGAGAGCAGGTGCACCGCGGGTCGCAAGCATCGCATCGGCAGCTCTCAACGGCGGCTGTCCACGGAGGCGAATACGTCGCACCGGGAACCTAGGAAAACAAAATAAACAAATACATCTTAGATACTATAGACCGCAGGGAAACCAATTATTTATCTATGAAATACATGGATATTTTTCAAATATCTAAGGTCATAAAAGCACTTGTGCTGGATCACAAAGAAGGTCCAAAAAACGATGTAAACAATATTGAGAATAGCTATTTAGGAAAAAGAAATGCAAATTGAATCAGATATCTTTGCTATTACTCCCGTGTTAAATTAAAGAAGTAATGAAGTTATATATGTAACCCTAGGAAGTGAAATTAGGGATATAAGACGATACTTAATACATTGGTCAACTATCAATATAACCGACTTTTCTGAAAGTCATTTGCATAATCACAGACCAAGCGTGATAATAGATCATCAAAAATCGTCAGGCTAAAGCTACAATATTATTGCATACCTTCTGTTCTAAGCTAGGTCCAAGCGTCGTTATTCTTAGCTCATTGGCTTCGAAACCACTTCTCACATCATCAGCGATAATACTAATGTCCATTTTGCTAACTCCATCTTCTATTAGACTTTTCAGACCATCAACCTCTTTGCTTCTCTCTCCAGTGTAAGTGTAACTAATAGCTCTGTCGCCTTTCGTCTCTGTCGGCAGTGTAGTTAGTCTCTGGTTGTCGTCGATATGTCTATCGCTTACATTACTCTTAATTACTCTATTGGACGGGGCTACTTCTAGTTCTGCTGAGAAGGACACATCCTTCTGGTATAAAACGTCTTCTTCTGTGTCAGACGATATCTCAGTCGCCTTTGTTGCGTTTAATTCTGTAACAAAAAACACTATATTATAATATGACAAACACAACAAAATTTACCTACTCCTCGCTATTATTGTACCTAATGTTTAGAGAATGCCGTTGCAGTCATCCTAACCTTGCCGGCCTGTAATTTTCTTTATATAGCCAAGTAGGCAAATTACTTTACCCCACCTGATGTTAAGTGGCGATAAAGTCCAAACGCGAAGATAGCTGGTACAGCAGTTATAAACTACCACATCAACCATCCTCATCTTGCCGGCCAGCAAAAATGATTCTTCACGCCTCTCTTAAAGGACCCCAGATTGTAGGCAGGAGGGAACAGAATTCCACTTACGAAAAGTACGACAAAGTAATGAGTCACTAAACTTCTATGTTCGTGTAGGAAGAGTGGCCACAGTAAGTCAGTGACAACGTAGGCCAGCGCGCGTGGTCCTCTGAAGAAAAGAAATGAAACCCCAAACAGAGGTAGTGTTAGTTAACTGTGGTCTTTTGTAAAGTCATCATAACACCTGAAGAAATAATTTCCACGATATAGTGCAGTCAAATATTAGTAATTTTTAGTGAAGTGTTCCTGCCACGAGTAAAGATTACTTCCACGTCCCACGGACTGGGGTAGTTGGGTTATGCAAGCTTGGGTCAACTATCATCGCAACTGGACATCACTCTCACGTCAAGGGTAGGAGATATGATCAACGAAGACAGTTAAAATCTATATCAAACTTAATTTACATTTAATGCTTTCAAAGTGATGTGCTGTCTTATTTTTGAGGTATCTGAGTGCGATACCGAGAGAACTCTTTAATAAACATCTCTTTAAAATAGGTGTTTTGGACAGTCCTCTGTGTAGAGCCTGCATGGAGGGAGAGGAGACGAGCACTCACGTCCTGCTACAGTGCAGAGGCGTGACCAGACAACGGATGACACACCTAGGCAGACCCCAGACGCTACTCGAGACCTGCGGAGACACCAAAAGACTGCTGAGCTTCTTGGGGGAGTTTGGATGGCATAACTTAAGTCATCTCACGCAAAATAGGCACCAGGTGTCGAGTTGCGGAAAACCCACAGTAAAGAAGAAGAAGAGTGCGAAAATCCTAGATGTTGAATGGCAAAATTATGTGACGTTGCACTTTTTATTTATATCAACTTGGTCCTGGAAAGAAAGTACCCTACCTTATAGCGGATTTATCGGAGCGCTCGTCTGGGGTAAAGTAACCTCCACCTTACAGGAGACCACAGTAAAATAACACAACCCTTTCATGGTATTTCTGTTGGTGAGTAAGGTTCCAGGGCTCCACAGGGTAGGGGATTGCGATAGGGTAGGTATCGGTAGACGTGATATTTTTTGTATATCCATAGACTTTCTTGGCCGTTCACAATCAGGAGGGCTATATGCTTGTTTGCTTCACTTTTCGGCAGTTATTCTACCGCCGGCGAGGAAGCGACTACCTATCGACTATTTTCTCGGTCAAGAAACCTACAATAGATATATGTTCCGTGTAAACTAAAGAGATTTTTTGTCGCTGAACGATAAAGAGCTATCAAAGATAATACTTGTTCAGCGATGCTCGCATGGCCGTCAAATCGCATGTGCGTGAATTTTTGTTTAGGACTGTCACTGCGAGTGAGTGCCTCTAGTTATCGCCCGTTGTAATAGCCCATTTTTATTGTTGGGAAAATGGGTGATGCATACCCTACCCCTGGGTGAGAGCCGAGGTTTTGTGGGAATTCTCCTCTCCCCAATCCCGCCCGTCCACTCAGCCAGCCCTTGGGACTGGCTACTTCCTTATATCCCAACGATAAACTATCAGAGGAGGAGCTCGAGAGCAAGTGGTTAGCGCGATCGTTAAAGTGAATATATATATATATATATATATATATATACACACATATATATATATATATATATAAATATAGTCGCGTGACGCTAGTGACGCATTTCCGTTTCCTATTTTCACTAGGATTTGTCCATTTACACCTCATCCAAAAAGAAGTTTCACTTCCAAAACTTGGTCCATTGAGTATACCGACCTAAGCACCCGTAGCCGTCGACGTGCAGCACGTACCCCGGCCCGCAGCCGCATTCGTACGTGCCATCGTGCAGCTCGCTACACAGCTGCTCGCACGGGCTGCCCTCCCCGCACCGACCTGGAACAAAACAAAAAACAAATTCAATCTTAGATTAACAAAAAGGGTACGCTCATACAAGCATCAAATAAAATATGATCCGACCCAACTACATAAGCAACACTCACACATGTACACGTCTGTATTTCTGTACATAAACATTCAATCGAGCGAGCGAGACAGAACTGTACGCTTCAACGCAGCGCGAGCGAAACGGCGAGTCCGCTTCCGACACCGTACGGCTGAGTTGTATTGTTGTCCTTTTCTTGATAACAAAATGGCGATTTCGGTAACAACATTCACGACAAACCGTGATTTTTGAGAAAAAATATTTTTACAGTTTTACGAATGTAAAGTGTTGCTGAGGCGTTTGATATTCGATTATGAACTATTTGTGTTCTTTATAAAAGCATCAAAGGCATTGTTTTATCTGTATAACACAGAATATACGCAATATTGTTATATTGAGTGCACATGTTTAAATGTCCAATTGTGACTAAAGCGAATTGTGGTCATGCACCACAATTTAAGCGGATCACTTTTGAGCCACGAGTGCCGTATTCTCTTTTTGGCAACCACCAGTACATTGCACGCCTCCACCTGTGGGATCGACGTAAATAAGTAATAATAGATAGATAGATGATGAAAATTTAAACTTACTGTCTTTATAGTAAGTTAAAATTATATATTATATAGGTTTTTAATTTTCGAACTCAAAGGTTGAACATGAAAACATCAAAGGTGTAACCGTCTGCGTAACTCCATATTGAGCATGTCCGCGCCATTCAGAAAGGACGTTAAGTGCCTGCGTGATGGGACATCGAATATGACGCAACAACATGCTTAATAAATATATAAACATTTCGAACACTCAAACCAATTAGCCTGGCACTTTATGGCTTGTGTAATGAGATACTAGGGTAATGGATAGAATACTCAGACTAATTATAATTTAGTATATATATCTGGAAAAACATACGAGTATAAAAATGTATCTGTTTTAGGTACAAATGCTCGTATTGATCAGACAAACATTAGCCCCACTGGGATTCCCGGGACCTGTGAGTAGGTGACACCTTGATACCTGGCATACTTACCGGTTGGTATAAAATGGGCTTGAGGAACTCGTCGGCGCCAGTAGTTAGCGCGTTCAGCCTGCGATCGCGGAACTTTAGCAGTAGTTAGTCATTGGATGGGTGCCCAAAGGCTTATTATCTCGGGCTCCTCCTAGCTTCGGAAGGCACGATAAACCATTGGTCCCGGCTACATCTGCAGTCGTTAGCAACTACCAATTCGCACTGGGCACACGTGGTAGGTCATGGTCCAATCTCCCTATTTCATCCATAGGGAAGGCCCTAACAGTAGGGAAATTAAAAGCATGATGATGATGATAAAAAACGCTGCCACTCATGAAACGCTCGATCGATATTTTGTGTCTCTGACTTGATTCAGTGCTGCCGCTCTACACCTACTATCGTGCCTATTCAAAATAAATCAAAAAGGAAAAAGGCTGATCTTATATTCTTCTTCTTAGCCGGTACGCTCTTGACAGAGCGGTCGTGATCGCTATGAACTTGTAGTATTATTGGAGGGGGCAGATGTGATGCGCTTCACTATGTTTCGCCATTGCTGCCTGCTAGAGGTCATCCTGCTGCACTCGTTTAGTGAACCTCCAACGGCTGACTTGATCTGGTCAGTCCATCGCGTGGGTGACCTTCCGCACGGTCTAGTACCTTCCACCTTTCCTTGGACTTTTTTGACTTTGATCTTATATAGAGTTATTTATATCCAAAAAATATTAAAAAAAATATGGTGAGTTGTTTAACCATTGTAAAGTATTGAGTGTATATGATAAAGTCAAATTTTATGTTTTAACAGAACATAACAGTGCACATAATCTACAGACTCACCATCGTCCAGAATACTTGCGTAACCTTGATTATAAAAAAAATGGGTGCGTGTACTTATGTAGGCGCGTGAGAAGTTATCCTTCTTTGGCATCGTTTAAAATTAGTTTTTAATTGCATGCAAATAATTAATTACAATAAATTAATAAAAAGTCTGGAAAAGGACACAGTCAATAAAGTTCAGTTTTAGTTTGAAAAAATAAATAAATAATCAAAATATTCAATTAAAATCGCTACTGAATATAATTTATTAGAACATATGTGATTTGCACTTGTATGAAACTCAAACACGTATTCCGAATATACAAACTAGAAACATGTGGATAAATATTATAAATATGAATACCTATAACTGTTACTTTATTACAAAAAATAAAGATGTGGTTTTTGGTTCTACTACACCAATGGTCAAGAGATGGCGCTGTAGTCTCCTGAATTGCGCTTTGGTTCCGTTGTTCCAGATTAATAAATACTTTTGATATTATAAATATGAATACCTATAACTGTTACTTTATTACAAAAAATAAAGATGTGGTTTTTGGTTCTACTACACCAATGGTCAAGAGATGGCGCTGTAGCCTCCTGAATCGCGCTTTTGTTCCGTTGTTCCAGATTAATTAATACTTTTGATAGGCCTTCACAATGCAGTCGTTAGCACCCACTAAATAGAAATTCTATTTCTATTTTGTTGGTAGATTTTCTTAATGTGCGGTAAACACAAAAGTAACGCATGAAGTTGGTCGCTAAAGCGACCAACTTCATGCTGTTAAAATTTTGTGTTACAGTGATGCGCGAGCATCTTAAAATTTCACTCTCATCATTTTTTCATAACGCGCCTAAAGAAGTATAACTTCAAAAATAAATAAATAATCAAAATATTCAATTAAAATCGCTACTGAATATAATTTATTAGAACATATGTGATTTGCACTTGTATGAAACTCAAACACGTATTCCGAATATACAAACTAGAAACATGTGGATAAATATTATAAATATGAATACCTTTAACTGTAACTTTATTACAAAAATAAAGATGTGGTTTTTGGTTCTACTACACCAATGGTCAAGAGATGGCGCTGTAGTCTCCTGAATCGCGCTTTGGTTCCGTTGTTCCAGATTAATAAATACTTTTGATAGGCCTTCACAATGCAGTCGTTAGCACCCACTAAATAGAAATAGAATTTTTTTGGTAGATTTTCTTAATGTGCGGTAAACACAAAAGTAACGCATTAGCGACCAACTTCATGCTGTTAAAATTTTGTGTTACAGTGATGCGCGCGCATCTTAAAATTTTACTCTCATCATTTTTTCATAACGCGCCTAAAGAAGTACACACATCAAAAGTGTCTAGGGATCAACATATATTTTTGCAATAACTTTTCTCCTGATTGATATTAATTAAAATTTTCTTTAAGGATTCATCAAATAAAGTGTTTTCGTTTGTCACAGTAACGATAAACCAAGTCACCTTTGCATTAATAAAGAAATTTGCCATTTTCCTAATAAAGGGATTTTTGACATTTGAACCACTAACACAAAAGTTCGAAAAAAAGACTGAAATAACAGTTTTCTCTAAAATTTTATTGGGTAACTTAAACAATTAATAATCCGTATTTCTACCGCGAACACTAACAACACAAGAACATCGGTTTGGCATACTCAAAATGAGTTCATCCAAATCACGCTGTGGAATGGCCGCCCATGTTCGTTGCAACAACAAAAAAAGGTCTTCTTGCGACTGGATACCCTCCATATTCGGCAGAGCTCTTCTCTGTAGCATATCCCATGCATGCTCAATCGGGTTCAAGTCTGGCGACTGAGCAGGCCAGGGCAGGACATTGATGTTAGCTGCGGCGAGAGTCTGTCTTACAACTCTTGCGGTGTGCGGTCGTGCATTATCATGCATTAACTGAAATAAGGGACCGATTTGCACTTGTAGAGGAACGATGACGTCTGATACAATCGTCTCAGCATAAATTTGAGCGTTGAGGTTGCCTCTGATCCAAATCAACTCAGTTCTTCCGCCGATCCAAATACCCGCCCATACCATGATGGTTCCACCACTATAAGGATGGACTTCCTGGCAGGATTTTAATCGCTGTTGGCGTCCAGGGGTTCTCCAGTGTCGTATACGTCTTGTATCCGGTCTCATACCAAAACGAGACTCATCAGAAAAGCACACGAAACGCCATTGTTCTTCTGCCCAATTTCTGTGTTCAAGAGCCCATTGATATCGAATCCTACGATTGTGCATTGCTATAGGTGGTACCCGTAGCGGTCTTCGGGAATGAAGGTTCACTTCATGCAAGCGGTTTCTGACTGTTTGGTCGCTAATTAAGTTCCCTGAAGAGTGATGAAGCCTCACGGCTAACATCATGGCGGTTATTGTTGGAGCTCTTCGAGTTAAGATTTGAATGTATCGGTCTTGTCTCCGTGTGGTGCAGCGATACCGTCCTCCATGGCGCTCAGCCACGGTACCAGTGCTTCGGTATCGTGTCCAAAGTCGACTGATAACACTCTGACTTGTATTCAGAGCTAAAGCCACAGTACGTTGCCGGGAACCAGCTTCTATCATTCCCACGGCTCTGAGCATTTCTTCCCTGCTTAAATGACGTCGCCGCTCCATAATAACGTTGGTTTTAATCAGTAGTAGGGAAACAGTAGCACTAATAATGTCTTCAATGCGTTGAATGTTTTTATAGGGAAAATATTGACAGCTGATTTTCATCTTTTACTCGAATTTGATTCACAGTTCCTGATTCAAATTATGAAATGCACCAAAAAGGATCCATATAAATTTATAAAATCATAAATTTATTACAAAGCCACATCTCAATCTCAAGAAATCCGCATAAAAATGCTTGATCCCTAGACACTTTTGATGTGTGTATAACTTCAAAAATATCTCCTTACCGAAAACCAACAATGTCTATGGTTCGAGAACACTAAAATATGTTATTCCCAAATTTCTAAATGAAATGCCCCCCAGTATTCAAGAATTGTATGTGAAAGATAATTGTAAACAGAAACTTAAGAAATATTTCTTAGAGCGAATCGCTGTAGACAGAAAAACCCATGTTTAAGGGTTTTAGATACAGCCATTGTATATTA